ATATTTGTGGAGCTCCAACTCTACCAACCCCTCCCTACCATTATCCCTCACCTTCCACCACAAAACCTCCACATCCCTGGAATATAAATAGCCATAAGATTTTCTGTGAAGAAATTTGACATAATCTGATCCTTATATTGCCCATTCAGAGAGAATCTGTGTAACAAAATGTACATTGAGGTGTGTTTTTCACTATTTAAAGAAGCATGTTTTGCAATATATTTAGAAAGGCAAAGCACAAAATTAATATTGGAAATATTGCTTAAACTGTTCAAACTTTGTACCTATAGAAAGCACAGTAAGTGTTAGAATGTTAAACTGTTCATAATTCAAACATCGTTTCAGGAAATTAATTCACACTATCCACCAATCTTGTTCATCAATATTCTCTTTTGTTAAAAGCACCAACAGAAATTAGGCTAGTGGAAAAAATATTAATAGATTCCATATCATTTCAAACTTCACAGAAAAATATTTGAGGTATGCAGAAACTGATAGCTGTGGATAAATATTCTCAGCCATGTGGTTTTGCAAATAAACAGCTGATTCTAATAACCTTTCGTAAAGCTAAACTTAAATGTACACTTTGCATAACTAGCACGATGTTTAAATACACCAATTGTTCCGAGCAAGCAATGTTGCTCAACAATTCTTCATGTTGACAGCAAAAGTGGAACCAGAAGGAGAATTTCAACATGGTTTGTTTGTATCAATAGGAAGTGGCCCAGCTATGCACGTCAATATTTATAATTCTTGTCTCTGTATATATCATGTAGTAGGCTATTCTAATAGACCAGGAATAATGTGAATCTGTAATTTTACATTCTGAGGATAAATTGGTGAGCCTAATTTTCAACTTGCTAACTGATTTCAGTGGTAAATATGATAGGACCCAATTCTTGAATATGCAACTACCTCAGTAAAATTTGTACAACTTAAAGGTTGTTAACTGGGAAAAAAAAAATTCTGTTTGGCATCCTTCCCCAATTTGTTTGTTTTTTTTAATTCTGTCTAAATTCATAATACACATTGGTCTGTAACTAAGTTAAATCCTAGCTGGCAGTTGTCACTGTGCAGACTGCTTTGGAATACAGGTGAACTCTTACCTGTGAGGGAAATAAAAACAGATCTTAGACCACACAAGTTGTGGTTCTATGTGTTATAAATTCCCCAGCTGCCAATACTTTAAATGGAATATATGCAGGGAGGAAAACTGGCGTTTATAGAAGTAACATTATTTTATTGTATTCCATTCTTTATCCGTTGGATTTGAACTTCTGGCCAAGCATAATAGTGCAGTTTAAATAATTTTCTTCTGCTTAACTGATTATGACTCTAGAGAGTCACTGAGTAGATCCACAGTGTATGAGAAAACTTGGGGAAAAATTGCAGGTATTGGATTTAAGAAAACACCAGTTGTCAAGAAGATATTAATTTTTCAGGTAACTATTTCAAATTAACTTCTTGACTAGATTATCCTTTGTTATAATATTTTACTCAATGTTTTTCTCCAAGTATTTCTTTCTAAACTTTTGCAAGTGTTTAAGTAATTCTCTATTTGTTGCATTTTCCAATGTAAAACAGCATGGAAAGTACCAGTTTCCATTTTCTAAATTATGTCAAACTTTCCTCTGGTTGCTGCTGAAACAGAAGAAGAAAATAACAAAAGAAGCAAACATGTATATCAAGGGATATTGAGAAAAAGTGGGAAGTAGGGTTGAGGGGCAGATCAGCCATAATGTCATGCATTAGCGGGGTGTACTTAAGAAATTAAATAGTCTTCCAAAACCTGGGAGAAAATAGTGCATAGTTCAAGGAAACAAACAATATCATCATTTAGTTTTACCACTCAACTACATATTATTTCCTTCCAAACATCTTGATATTGATGTTTAAAGTGATTGCTAGGATATCCATATAAATGTATATTTTTGTCAAAGTACAATTATTCTTGATTATGATTGTTCTATGATTTTAAAATCGCCGTACATTGCATGAAAAGTTACAAAAATACAAATTCAGCCGACAAGAACTAATCAAATGAGCTGCAAGAATATTGGTTACATTTAATTAAATAACCATCTTTCTAAATGACATAAAAACAAAAGAAATATATAAAGACTAAGTGATATGGGGCAAAATTAACAGAACTGAGTGTTTAGAATCATAGCCTAGTGTCATAATACATCAAATCCCTTTATCATAATATGATAAAGTCCAATAATTTAAAAATGAAATCCTTTTATGTAATGATTGGAACACCATTTTGTATTTCACATTACTTGTTCAAAGTTGTATCAAATTGCAGGATCCTTTTCATAGGTATTTATGTTTTTGCTTTCATTTCTGATCTTTTTTGCTGACAATTTTGTTCTTTTTTGCTGACTCCTTGACAGGTTATGGTTTCAAAGGCACCAAATAGGTTCAGCATCCCAGTCCTCTGGTGTACATGGGTAATTAATGGGATTGTACATCAACACATTATGTGAATGGAGCGAGTATTACATTATGATTTTGTTTTTTCTTACCCAATATCCACAAAAACACACATTCAATAGACATTGAACTGTGGCTTACAGTGAGAAATTAGGCTGATATTCCCTCCCAGATCAGGGGTACCAAAGGCAATTGTACTGTTTGACTGTAAACAGCTGACCCAGACTGGAATTTAAACCTGCGATATTTGTGATTAGTGTGACTTGGCTATACACTACTGAAACAAGTTGAATCATCAGAGCAATAGTTATTGAATATAAATAGATGTTTCCTGTACACACTTTACTGTTATTGCATATGTGTTTAATCACAGTTTTCAGATGATAATCAGGACAGGACTGAAGTTAACATTAAGTGCATTATTAAGACTTCCTACATATTAGATTTCATCAATTTTCCTACCCATTCTAACAAGACATGTGATCATCTTGTATATATTTATTAGATGAAGTCTTACCATTCTCTGTTCCAAGAAGAAAGTTCCAATTTTCCTCAACTCCTCTGGAAAAAATCATTTTTCGCTCTGAATGAATGCACATATTTCAAAAGACATTTGGTATGCAAAAGTATTAATCTGCTCTCTTTCATTTCAGACATGTATGCCAGTAGCAAGAAACTTGCTTGGGCTTTTTTTTATAATGGAGTTCACAGCTCTCCCTCATTTCTGATAACATCATTGTAAGCCCATTCTATATCCTTTCTAAGACCTTTATATCTTTTCTGAAGAATGGTGTCCAGAATTGTCCATAATATTGACCACAATACTCAAGTTGAAGCCTAACCAATTATTTATGAAGTTCTGGTATGATAAATTTGTGTTAATATGCTACTCTTCCATATCTGAACTAAAGAAACATATGCATTTTTAACAATTTTTTAGAAGCAATTTTAAACATAGAAATTAACACTGATTAAATTGTATCAGGAGGAATATGAGATCAACATGAAAAGTTTAATTTGCCTATATTCACAATGAAATTTAAGTTTCAAGGTCACCTGGGGAAATATTTGCTCATGAGTAAGGCTTAGTAACATTTGCAATCAATGTTATAAAGGAGGAATGGGAATATTACAAAGGAGCCAAAACTTCTGATTGTTCCTTGACTGGGGAAAAAATGCCAACTATGCACATCAGGCACAAAATAGTTCCAAATGTTTTAAGTTGGTGCCAACTTGTGTACTCAGAAACTAAAATTTGTTATGTTCAAGAACTAAATATTTGGGGAAGCAAAACTTTTCCAGATTTTTACATGGTGCTTTTATTTCTGTGAAAAATTGTTTGTGCAAGTAAGTTGCAGTTATCAGAAGTTTAGCGAAAATCATTTCCCCTCCTACCACCCTCTGCATTATTCATGCTCATACATCCCACACCAGCGACATTCTCAGTTTTTGATAAATGTTCCTTTTTTTGCTGATGGGTGTTCGCTCTGTGTTTGTGTTGAATAAGTAAAAGAGTTCCTCAAAACTTACGATCTCAAGTTATGTGATTTCACAGAATTTCCAACTTGTAAATAAACAAGCCTCCAGTCTGGGAGTGTGATATGCAGTATTAACAACAGGAACAAACAAAAAATTAGATATGGTATAGCTTTATAACCATGTTACCATTTAATACATTTCCCGCCCATGTTGTACAAATAATCACTTACTTCTTTATAACTTTGTCTTAACTTATTCAAAATTAAAGAGTATGATTTTCATTTCAAAAATTATTTTGACAACATCTTGAACATGACTATTGTGGGAACATAGATAACCATGAACATAGTTTCAGTGGGAGATGATACGATGCTGTTTTAGTGAAAGGTTTGAAGCTTGCTTCTAGCAAAGAATTTGCCATTGGCTAAGGTAATTAACAACAATGTATTGAAATTCAAGACAGAAGTCAAGTGATATACAAGAGGTCCTCGATTTACGAATGTCCGACTTAATGAATGCTTGTATTTACAAATGCGGACCATACAGGGGTGTAATTTTAAATATGAGTCAGAAGTCACATGACACTAGATTATAGTCCAACAGGTTTATTTGAAATTACAAGCTTTTGGAACACTGCTTTTTCGTCAGGTGAATTTTAAACATCTGATCCATGAACATTTCTTGTTCTGACAAACAGCTGGTTTACATCGCCCTGCATTGTGTTCCAACTTCCCTATAGATCGACTTGCAAATGGACTCCAGAATAGAACCCGTTCACAACTCAGGGACTGCCTGTAAATAACAAGATTGCTGTAGATTGACAATGCCAAAAAAGAGTTATGACACTGATCATGGACTGGGTTGGAGTTTTTTTTCAATATCATCCGAGATTTTTTTGGGAATATAGAGCAACTTCAATTTTTACATTTGCAGTGTTTCAACAAAAAATTCTGTTCTAACGAATCGGGTAAACCATGAATGGGCTTCATCCTCCAAAGCCTCTCTGATTCTGCACTTTTCTTTTTCTTCATTCAAGATGCTCCTTAAAACCTTGTAATGTTTTATTACATTGAAGACATGATATCAATTCAACTTGCTGTTGTTGTGTGCATGTTCAGTTGCTTGGTGCAACATTAACATTTACCCTTCCATTTGGAATCAGTATAGAAATCTCATTATACTTTCTGCCAATCTGAAAGGCAAATAATATTAAATACCAAACCGTTTTCTCAGAAACTAGATTGAATAAATTCAATTAATATGTAAATGAAAGTTCTACAGGAGGAATGCAACATGTTTGTCAGAAATTATTTCCTTTATAAAATATATTTTCTTCAGGTCAAACCAACCACTCAGCAAAATCTCGTCAGCGTTTTTCACAGCTTTTTGGGATAGAAAACCTCCCTAATATGAAAGAGCAGATGTTTTCTTATTACTTGCTTAATCTCATGAAATGCCTTTTGCTAAAATATTCTTGTGTTTTACACCTTTGGCTGGATTCCAATTGCCCAATGAGCAGATGGTAGAGGAGCCCAATAGAGCACTGAGAAGCTGGAGATTTCAGCAGCATATTAGTCAGTAGCATTTTAATGCAGCCCATGCATGAGCACTTGACTTCTTGGTTTAGCAACCAATTAGTGTGAGTGAGCATGATAACAAGCTGCATGAGTGTACGTCAGAGGTTTTAAGGGGAACATGCAAGAATTAAAGTTGAAAAGTTATCCGAATGTGCCAACAGATCGCAAAACTGCGGCAATGGGTTCACAATGCTACAAGAAAGCTCCTTGTTTCACTGAAGCTTTCAAGGACTGATCCTGAGGGCTCCACAGGCCCATAGAAAGATTACCTTTCTCGCCAACAGGAGGAAGTTGTCAGTCGCAGGGCACAAGAGCACAGGGTTGAAATTGCTCAGAAGTTTAGCAGCAGGAGAGTGATGCCTTATTTCTGGATGTGGAGCTGAAGTAAAGTTAATTACCTACTCAAGTCAGGAAGGGGAATGGTATGTTATATTCAGGTATATTTTGATATGCATCGAACTGTGCACACCTTTCAGTTTGCCTTTCCAAGTCTTTCCCAGCTGATATGATCTTGCAGGTGCACCCTTTCCTCTTCCCTTCTCCCATCTCCCACCTATTTCCTAGTCACATCTTCATCCTAATACAATGTCAAACCTGTCCCTCACAGCCAATCTCCATAAATGACATCTGATTCTCTACTCAACACATGCCATTTCTTCCATTCAGGTGTATCCGTCTCTCCTTGTAGAATAAATGCGCAGAGTCCATGAAGGAGTAACAAAGAGCTGGCCATCTCTATGCTGACAGCTGCAGAGGAGGAGTTGCAGTAAATAAGCCAAGTGTCAGACTGCCTAGCTGTTAGAGATGGGGCCCTCTGAGCTACTTAATAACAGAATTGAACATCACATATCCAGATAGCATATGGCACTCACTCATGTTGATTTGGCATCAGCAGCTCATTTTTGACTGATGCTTATTAAGAGGCCTCTTCACTTTTGATGTGCATTTGTGATAAGGCTGGTTTACAAATTGTAGGATTATTTTGTGTTAGAGGTGTTGGGAGCCATGTCAGCTTGGAATTTGGCTGTCAAATACATCACTGCTTCAGTCTAGCTGAACTGTGTACCTTGCTGTTAGTTTCCTCACCACATCATGCCCATCTACTCATGTTACTACACCTCATCTCTCTCTTACTCTGAAGAAAAAGTTATTTACTCAGCATTTCCTCCCACATAGAACTCCGGTCCTTGCTGCTACCTTATGTGGTACAAAGTGCAATGCACCACTATTAGTCTTGATAGCTGAATTATGCATACTGGAAAATGCCCCAGATGTGTCCTGTCACCTAAAGTACAGCATTACCATCGTGGTCAGTGACATATTTTTTGCTCAGGTGTATACAGTAATGAGATAGTGATGTATCTGATGTTATGGCAGTACCATTAGCTGTTATGTGTTATAGTCTGAGAAGGAACAGTCTATACTGGAGAAGATTTACAACAAAGTATGTTATAAAAAATAAATAAAAAGTGTTTTGTAGAAACTACTGGTAGAGTCAGCCTCTAGTCACTCCACGATAGAGGAAACTTTCCCTAATATACATCTAGCCACAAGTTACCCAAAGAGACATTCAAATAGGTTCCAAAATTGGAACCAAGCCATAAAGCAAACCTTCTCTTCCACATTTTTGGTTTCCTAATGGGTGTCCTCAACCAGGCGTTCAGTGGGTAGCTATAGTGCCAGAGGAGTCAACCTTGAACTCGACTTAAAGGTGTGAAAAAGCTCAGAGCAGCTGAAATTGTCAAGGTATGTCCATGAGATCTTGCAACAGGATGACTTTTTAGTGATTGAAGGTGAGCTGCATATTGTTAGAGCTATTGATGTTGTTGGTCATTTTGATTCCCATCTGAGGTCCAAGTTATATTGCACCCAAGCTGCATTGATGATTGACAGATGGGAAGGATGGATAAGTCACACATCTCCATGGCAGTTAAAATGACTTCCAAACCTGTGGGCATCACCTCCGTCAAGTGGAGGCACATTCTCAGAATATGTGCATGAGCAAAAACTTTTCACAAAGGGCAAGGGAACTGATGTAAAGTTTGAGTCAATTTTGGATTTTTTTTGCCCATCATTTTCTCATTCCTCTCAATTCCACTATTCCTTCAACTTTGCTTTGACTAGTGACTTCCAAGAAGCTTTTGAAATTAGAGCACTTTCAGTTAATTTCCAAAATCTAAGTTAAAGCAGTTGCTAATTTTAACATATTGCAATTAACAACACATTTATCTCAATGTGATTTCCTGCTTTCAACCAATGGATATAAGGCTGAAGTCAGTGATTGCCAATGGATTCCTGACTTTGTGCCAATTTCTGCCATTTAACACATTGCCCACTCCTTAACCTACTGACTTTTTTAGGTTTAAGTTCTTTCTTTTACTTCTCTGGAGATAGAGCTGTCAATAAAGCAATGATATTAATTGTATTAACTGTCATAACAAAGATTTTAACAACTCAGCAAAGTAATGTAATAAACATGACCCAATATCATCAGAAATGTAAAGTTGTGGCTCTGTAAGTTGGATAAAATAGCCTAGATGTTTCACAATGTATCACATTGTATATGAGCTCAAAAAGCTGAATTAACATCATATGTCCAATTCTCCGCTTCATTAATGTTGTTGCCTTCTTACTATCTATATGCAAGTGAGTCTAGGCATAGGGAGGTGCATTGAAGAGGTGAGAGTATCTATCAAGTCCAAATGATTCATTAATTGTAAGTTTATTGAAAGTTTCTGATCAGTTTTTTTGCAATGTTTTGCTGTTACCAAGTACTTAGTCAGCAGCTTTAATGTTATTTTCTTTGAGGCTCCCATCCACCACTGCATTCCACATTTGGTGGTTCACAAAGGTAAGACCAGTTCCAATAGTGGAATTGAGAGGAATGAGAAAATGATGGGCAAAAAAAATCCAAAATTGACTCAAACTTCATATCAGCTCCCTTGCCCATTGTGAAAGAGTGACTTTGAAGGCGATGGACAGGGGTAAGCTTGTGCTAGATGTAGCCCATCAGCAATTTCCTGTGATTGCCACACACGTTGGTGATTGCCTGCCTAATTAAGCATACCACAGTCTCTCCACATGTGCCCAAATAAGTCAGCTCGGGTCATATTACTTAAGTCCACCTGATAATGGATATCAGATCAGAGGTTCAAATGCACTTGCCACTCCTCCCTTCAGGGAATCTACTCCGCCTCCTTCAAATAAGAATGTCCACTGGCGACCGTATAGAATTCAAGGGTAAATATTGTGTCTGAAGTTGTAGGGACAACTGGGGTCAGGTAACAAGAAGAATATTAAATTTAGAGCAGTACACACTGGAGCACTGAATTATCTTTAAAAATATACTTAGTTGAAAAACTAAATGCAAGATGAATAATAAGCAGAGTTCACTTTGGCCACTTAAAAATAGCCAGTAGAAGTCATGGGTTAAAATAACAGTTTAAGGAGGCTTGCATTAATTGAATGAGTGGTCTCCCAGGCTTTGTTTCATACTGGTGCCCAGCATTGCAAAATGCCAAAAAGAATTTGTTGTGGAGCCAATTATAATGAATTAACATAATTTTGTAGCCACTAATTAGGTCAGTGCACGCTATAAGCACATTGCAGAAACTACCAAACATTTTCCTCCCACAGAATTGAGAGTTTAGCACCAGATCGACTACGGTCTGCCTACTTGTTTCAAGAAGTTTGTACAATTCCATAGGTGCCACTCCCGTGCAACATCATGCAACAAGCAAGAATATGTCTGTATAATGCACTGGTACGTCAATGTTTGGAGTATTGTGTACAGTTCAAGTTTTGATACTCTGGTAAATATGTCAAGGTATTGGAACCTTTTCCATCGAAATTAAAACTAGAGGAAACTTATGACAGGCAGCTGATGCAATATGGTGCAGTATACAGGATTTGATGCTGGAGACTTTTAATCATGTAAACATTTTACAATCAAACAGGTTTCAAGTTGGTAACAGGAGTGAATATGGGAGATAAAAGGGAACTATGCCCACTAGTGGAGGAATCTAGGACCGGGGGTGTAGTCTAAAAATTAAAACCAGGACCTTCAGTAGTAAAAATAGGAAACACTTTTACACTCAAAGCAAGGGAGAAGGTTTGAACACTCTTAAAAACACATTAACAAAAGCTAAAAAATTTAACAATTTGTAATCTAACATTGATAGATTTTTGTGAAAGTGTTTTGATGCAAAGGCATTCAATTTAGACATAGAATGCCATGATTTCATTAAATGGTGGAACAGATTAAATGATCTAATCTTGTTCTAAAGTTCCCTCAAAAGGCTAATGATGTTCCATTGAAGTTGAATACATTCAATTCTTAGTACTGTAGAACTTACTAGTTTCTATGGCTGATAGTAACTTATGAGTAAAATTATTTTCCAATTGAAACTTGAGTTTCATAAAATTACAACACAGCATGAAAAAGGGTCTTTGATCCAAGAACCCTAAAAATAAGAACATTAAATGCATTCACACACACATACACACAATAAAGCTCGATGATTTTCAAAATAATAATGACAATGAATACAATACACTTTTCAAAGCTAGTAACACACATACAATCAAAGCATTATTTAGTTTGCAAAGTCATATA